GGGCTCCAAATGAATCACTACTGCGCAGACTCTGGCTCCAAACGAATCACCACTGCGCAGACTCTGGCTCCAAATGAATCACCACTGCGCAGACTCTGGTTCCAAATGGCATTATGTTTGCAAGATGACAGCAGCCATATTTTGGTTTCACTTTTCTATAGTGGAAGGAAGTGGAGACATGTCGTTTATCTTTTTAACAGTCTATGATCTGATCACACTGGAGAAAGACTGGAATATAAATTCTATCCATCTAAAGAATATCAAGAATCTAAGCTAATGGCAGGTGAAAACCACAGACTGTGTCAGTGAATGATGAGATATTTTCCGTAAATAAATGGTCCAGGACACCCCCCATAAATACTTAAATTAATTGTGTAAGTAGTAACGCAAAAAAGCGTTTTAAGTTTAGAAATGTTTTGAGTCGCCCCCTCCCTTGCCTCCAAGTGGTTTGGTCCACTGCCTGCTTTCCCCCTTTATACCGATACACACTCGAGTCCAGCGGAGAGAACAGAGGGCTTCAGTAGTTATGTGTATGTAGGCTGCCAAGGCTATTTTATTCACTTTAAACATTGGTTGAAGTGATTCTTTCTCTTTAATACTGATTATGCTGGATCATTAATAAATTAGTCATTTAAAAAATGATGATATCCGATGTATTTTTCTATGAGTGATTATAAGGTTACCTAGCTTAGCTTGTTTAATACTCCCACTACAACTAACAGGGCGATAAGCCTGTGTGTGAACTGATATTAGGCTAATATTGTAGATCTACCGATGTGTTGGGTTTTGCTCAATATGATGTTAAGTGCAGTGGGCTTGCTGCGGTTGAATATCTAAATAAGAGATGTCCTCAGTCCCAGACGAAACCTAAAATACTATGTGGAGGACGCAAAATAATTTAATAATTATAATATGACCGCATGGTGAACCTATGAACCAAACTCATATTTAAACACGGTCTCTATGCTATGTACACATATCTATCCTTACAAGTACAATTTTGCTGTATTATTTGTGTCCCCTTCAAAAGTTGCTCTTGAGAAATTTTATGTTTATTGCCCCCCCTACTATTAGATGAAATTTACGCCCTTGATTGAGTGTATGCATAAACTGATGAACAACTTATATTTGACTAACATTACATTTTTCTCATATGTGTCCAAATGGCAGCATGCCTTTCAACAGACCTTCAGACAGATGAAAAGAGGAGAAACAAATGAGTCTTGCATTTTTACGTACGGCTGCGTTTGGCCTCTTGATCTCCCTCCTCATCATTATCAGGGTCGATGTCCTCAGCTTGTGTGATCCAATCCAGATATCCCTTCAGATCCTCCTCAAGCTGCTGCTTCTCACGCAGTTTCTGGAAATCTCCACGAGCCTTGGCCTTCTCACGCTCCTTAGAGAACTCTCTGTGGTGCACACATGCAGACAAATTCACACTAGCAACAACGTATGTATGGAAGAGATCATGTACCCAGATATAGACCATGGAAATTTTGTTTTGGTTATGGCACTTTGAAGGGCGCATCTATGAAATTACAGAAACTGAACGTTAAGAGCATTTGGATTAAATAACTCACCCACTGAGAACGCCCAATACTAGATTGAGGACAAAGAAGGAGCCGAAAATGACCAGACTGACAAAATAGACCCAAGGTAACTCAGAGCCCATAGCATCATTCATCTGAAACACACAATGACACACAGCAACTCTCAGATTAACTCAAATATAATAAATAAATAAATACATACATACGAATAAATAATAATAATAATAAATAAATAATAAAATAATAAATACATCCGAAGATATAATGTCTTTATTGTCTTGTTGTTTTTTTCCAAACCACATTAATTTTGTTTTATATTGCTTTGCATGAACAAACACAGCTTTGGGAAACATACAGATTGATTTTTTTTCACTGTGTCCTATCTCAGTTATCTCAGTTCACAACCACAATCCTGGGACAAAGTTTTTTTTTTAAATTTTTTTATTCATTAATACGTAATGATAGTTAAGAATTTGGTGAAATACATAATGTTAAAACTAACTTGATGGTTTTGACTCTTACAAGGCATGAAAGAATATGTGTGAATTGAAAAATTAAACTGAATCTTTGTGATAAAGGCATTCATGTAATAATTTACAGTGAGGTTGCATTTATTAACATCAGCTCATACCACAGCTCTCAGTTAACAATGGAAAGAAGTATTTGGTTACACTTTAGATTAGGGAACACATATTCACTATTAACTAAGAGTCTTCCCTCAATTAACTTCTAATATGCTGATTACTGATAATAAGTAAGGCAGAGGTTTGAAGGTTTGTTACAGTAGTTATGTTTAGCTAGGGTTAAGGGATCTAGTCCTGCATTAATATGTGCTTTATAAGTACTAATAAACAGCCAATATACTAGTAATATGCATGCTAATAAGCACCTAGTTAATAGTGAATATTGTTCCCTAATCTAAAGTGTTACCTAAAGGGTTATTTTTATACATAATATTAAGCTGAAACATTCCTAATGTAGTAAGTAATGCTGACATGTAGAACCTTTTTTGTAAAGTGCTCTTGCAACTGGACTTTTACAGTTTATTTATTTAGATTTTGTGTAATTTGAAGCCTCATGTATAAACAGCAGTGGTGGAAAGTAATTTTTACTTTGTTACTGTAATGAAGAACTTTTTTCAAGAATCTTATGAGAGTATTTTTATTTTGGTTTTTGATATTTTTGTATTGCTTCACTACATTCCAAAGCCTAATATCATACTTTTTACTCCACTACATTTTATAAAAACATATCGTTCCTCATTATTTGACACCAAAGAATCTGATGCCCGCTCAAGACGTGATAGCAATGCCTGATTCATCAAAGAGCTGATCCTTTAAATCGGTTTACAAATCACTCTGAATGATTCATTGGGGAACTGAATCGTCCTGATCAAGGCAGGTCAGGCATGAAGAGGAGAGGAATCTAAACTTTATTGAAAACAAAAACAAAGAAGATGACAACACATAACAGTAAACTTACACAACTAAAGGCCCTGATATACTTCAAACAAAGTTCTTTTTCATTCTTCGTTTAAGGGGCAAAAAGAAGTTCGAAAAGGCTAAGCGACGGTATACTGTTTTCGAACATTCCGACACCCCCGCGCTGCTGGAGGCGGGGTTGTAAACATGTGTCACGCCGCCCGCGTGTACCCCCTAAACACAACAACGATGGTGGCTGTGAGAGAAGAACAGTTTCGTAAACATCTGGCAGTAGCATTGATCTATTCAATGGCAAAGAAAAAGAACAAGAACAAGCGACGTAGATGGTATGTGCGTCCACTTAACGAAAACAGAAAGAATGATGGCGAGTTTGCCCTTTTTATTCAGCAAATGCGGAGCACAGATGAGGAAGTGCATTTTTCATACTTCAGAATGTGCGCCGTGCGGTTTGGCGATCTCTTGAAAAGAGTATCGCCATATGTGAAACATGCAAAAAACGCACAGGACACCGATTTCCACTACGGAGAGACTGGCCTTGACACTCTGAGTACTAGCTTGTGGGGCCACGCAACAAAGTGTGGCTGAAACATTCAAGATTGAACCGTGCACAGCCCGCAAGATAGACGCGGAGATGTGTCCTCCTGTCTGGCCTCCGTGGAATGAGAAACGAACCGGGGGGAAAAAATTGCACGTCAAAGAAGGCGGAGTTCCAGAACACACCCACCGACTGCATAATCGCCACGGACCAATGGTAGCTCAAAGGTGTTTAGGAGCCAAAACAAACTCCCCCAAAAACTTTGCTTTGGTGAGCTGTTTTGATCGGCCAAAACGAACTCAAAACGAACTTTGTTTCGGCCTGATTTTGTTAGAAATGACAATTTCAGTTCGTTCTTCGATTTTGTTTGAAGTATATCGGGGGTCTTAAGGCAGAGGCAGCCTCTCCACAGGCTGCATAAGCACTGCCAGTCAGACTAGACGAATACTTACAGCCCCGGGAGGGGAGGCACAGCCTGCCCCACCAGGTGGAAGCGGTATTAGGACTAGGGCTGTGCGATTAATCGAAATCGAACCGCAATTGCGATTTGAGACGTTGCGATTTACTAGCCTACTAATCGCAAAGCCTGCGATGTGGACCTGATATGACTGTTCCAGAGCAAACGCAAATGCATGACTGCCAGCCTTGAGTGGCAGTCTTACTAACCAATTGAGTGAGCGCACCTGCTCTAGCCAACTGTGTAACGCCCACCATTAAAAAAATAAAAAAATAAATACAAATAAAAAATAGAAAGCGCGCGCGAGAGAGAGCCAGTGGGATTATGGCGTCTACAGGGTCGGATCGATAGTCAGGCAAAGACAGTAATACTAAAGAAAAACTTATGACATTACATTGGCTTCGAAATGACAGACATCGAACAAAACTAATAACTAATAATAATAAACCT